TTAGCTTCATTTCCTCAAGCAAGAAAATCGGATCGCATCTCCATCACTACTAAGGTGTTGCTCGAAAAGAGAAGGAAACTGAAACTTGATCCTACTGCAGCACGTTTAACATGGCTGGTAATAAATACCAGCTGCAGAAGAGGAAGATCTACAACGGTACAAGCAGAAGAAAATACTGGAAGCAGGAGAGAAAAGAAGCAGTCTGAAAAAATGTCGTCGGGACTTATGTGATTATAATGCTCCGCTGTCAGCCCTGTTGGACGAAAATGGGATCGCCAAAATTTCCCGCCATGATGCGGAATTAATAGCGATAACGTACTACACCAACCCTTTCCGTTCCACAATCGCCGCCCTGGGCCCTAATATTCCCACTGAAGAAAAACCACCTGGAATTCTTCCGTCGAGTCGATTGGAATCGAGTTACGATAGAAAGCATGAAAACAGGCGCAGCTCCAGGACCCGGTAATATCACTGGCGATTTCCTTAGAGCTGGAGGCCACAATTTACATATACTTTTCGCTGTGACAGGCTACCTTCAAAAGGAAAAAAAACCCAGACCACTGGAGGACATCGCACACAGTCATCCTGCCCAAGAAAGGAGACCGAAAGGATCTTCATAACTATCGTCCCATGTGCTTGTTAAGTGTACTCTACAAGCTCTTCACGAAGATTATCAACTTGCGCATTTCAAGGACATTGGATGAAGCGCAACCAGTCCAGCAAGCAGGATTTCGAAAAGGATTTTGCTGCATGGACCACATTCAAACAGTGTCCAAAGTCATCGAAATTTCTCGGGAATACCACTTTCCTCTAGTCCTAACCTCTGTCGACAATGAAAAAGCGTTCGACAGGGTCGAAACGAATGCAATCCTATCAGCTCTCGTCGACTAAGGAGTGGACCCGTCCTGCATAAGAACTCTGTCCGTCTGTTATCGGAACTGCACTACAAAAATGCAGCTTTTCTATCGACCTCTTACAATATCCATAGGAGAAGGTGTTCGAGAGGGCGACACAATATGGCCAAAGCTGTTCAGTGCCGCATTGCAGAGGATAATGAAGTCACTCGGTTGGGATGAGAAAGACATACGAATTGATGGAAAATTCCAATCAAACCTTCGTTTTGCCGAAGACATTGTCATCTTATCAAGTACTAGCGAAGCAGTGGTGATGATCAACGAGATCAACGAAGCGGGAAAAGATCGGACTCCGCATAAATCGTTCATAAAAGTTCATAAAAAAACCCATGGCGCGATGCCGAAAAAATAGAATTGGATGGCTGTCTCATTGTAGAGACCACCTCGTACGTTTACCTTGGGCGATCAATGAACATGGAAAACAACATGAAAGAGGAACTAGATAGCAGGAGAGCAGATTGGGCCGCATTCTGGCTTCTCAAAGCAGCCACTGACCAACTGAAGAACTCGAAAATCCACGCTCATCTCTGATTCTACGGCCCTCCCAGTGCTCTGTTATGCTGCGGGGACGTGTGTTGATACTTCAACCACGTCAAGAATGCTTCGAACTACTCAGACAGCGCTTGAGCGATGTCTTTTGGAATATGAGCGGCACTCTCAAAATGTAGCCGGAATGCGAAGTTCTGACCTTCACAATCTGTCACATATTCGAGATCCAAGAGAATATACATCGATAGCGAAACATAGATGGGCCGGTTACATAGTGAGAAGAACAAACGACAGATGGACGAAAAGAACAGTAGAGTGGACTCCAAGAGAATGCAAACGTCTCCTAGGACGACCACCTACACGTTGTGCGGACCTGTTCGTAGACAAAGTTAATCAGCTGTAACCGCAGCTTCAGTTGTTTTAGAGATCACGCTATGAGACTCGCAAGCGCTACTATGCTCGAACAAGACCACCGCCATGGACTACGATTGCGAAAGGAATGAATGGCATATGTGCTGGGGTCCGCACAGGTCGTGAAGACGGACCGTCTATGTATCCAAGTAAATAGTAATTTTGACTTTCTGGAGACTACGAGAGCTATTCTTTCCGTCGGTTTTCGTCGAGTATTTGGTGCATCGAAACGACCGAGAAGTCGAGATTTCTTTTAAAAAAACTGACCTTCATTAAGCCTCGGCGTAAACATTCAATCATTTTTTGGATTATTAAGCTAACACGAGATTGGTAAAAATTTATTCGGCTGACGTTTCGGCGCCATCGCCTTCTTCAGAGCGGCGTCGATCCGGTTCAATGGTCCACAGACGCTGGTTTTCTCGATGTGGTGCCTTCGCCGTCGCATCGAGTCCAATCCAGTGAATGGAGCACCACTTTGAAGATTTCGTCTAATGAGACATGAATTGTTCTCGGTCATTTCACTGATGTTGGCGGCTCTCGTTTTTGTGTTAGAAATTTCAAACGCTTAAATTTGTTTGCTGTTTATTTAAAACTCCAGTTGTAACAAGGTTAAAATTTGAAGACCGCTTTGCAACAATTACGTATACCCTTAAAGTGATAGAATAAAGCCTGTTCCGTGAAGCTCTCAACTCAACTACTCCAGTTATCGGTAAATTCTCGCAAACCTTCAAAAAAACAAAATAGCCATAAATAGACTAACACATTCGCAACGCTAATCTTCATTGCATGCAGCATAGGACACCTAATTTTTCGAACGATGCGGATCAGCACTACATGGAATCGTGTGGTGAAACAACAAGAGGCACACCGCAATGCATGCAGGGTCAGGGGTTTGGCTCAATCCCCCGTTCCATTCACCCTAGATCGGCGCCCGGGCTTGTATGGCAGAGTAGCAGCACTGACTTGATACATCAGTACGCCACCGCAAGTCATCGTGTAGGCCAAATATGCATTCCAACACCTCTACGATACTTGACGAACTCAAATGCATGGTACATTCCTCGAAAATTAATAAATGTCGAACGCATGCGCTTTTACGCTTTATGGTGCAATAAGAGCCTCTGTAGCTTGAGGAACAAACTCTGCCTAAACGATTTTTTTTCTATGTTATTAAGTGTAGAAAACAGTAATATAGTTACGTGGATGCTAAAACATGAAGAAAACCCGGTGACTTAGTTGGGTTTCTTTCTATCAGCAATCATCAGTTAACGGAAATGATCTGGGGAGATTCTATCAGCAATCACCAGTTAACGGAAATGATCTGGGGAGCACAAATCGTCACAGAACCCAATTAGGCTTAAGTAAACGAACATTGTGATTTCTACTGCAACTTCGAATTAACTGGCTTCAATGTCGATTTGTGTTTCCCACACCATTCTCAGTGATTTTTTTTGTTTGCTCATAGCACCGTTAGCGAAAAAAAACTGGTTGAGAGAAAGGTAAAGCAAAAACTTCGGCGATGCAAACAATGGCGTGGGAAACACGTGAGCCACCGGAAAGGGTAATTCTGAGTTCAAAGCCTTACTGCGGTCCTGAGTTTTGGTCATATCTCAGCATTCTTGTGGTTGTGTTTCATATCGTACCCTGCCATTAAAAAAGGCAGTAAAAGCCGTATATAGTAATCGATGAAAACGGGCGAGCTACGGTTTCCCGCACCAAGATGAAGCGAAAAACAGAGAATTTTACACAAATCATTCAATCCAGAACGCCCGGACCATACCTTAGTATTTCCACTTAAAGAAAACCACCAACAATATCATCGCATAAAGAAACCTACTAAACACGTTCTATAACTCAACCACGAAAATTACCAGCACTTTTCGAACTTATATGGAATCCAAACTATGGAACAATGTGGATTTAGCAACATTTAAGGATAACATCCAAACTCTAGAGAGTCGAAGAGATCTGCAGGGAATATTATCTCCAGTGATTATTGATAACACCTTGGAGGAATTCGATACAGGACAAGGAGTAGGATAAGTTGAGCTGGTACCTTTCACAGATACCACTGCTAACCTACGTGTTCACTTATTTGGCGCAGTCTTCCAGCTGCGCTATGCAGCAAAAATATGCGCTGATACTACAGCCATGTTGGAAAAACTGCGCAATAGGGCACCCGAATTATGCTTTTTCATGATTAAGTAATACACTCAACCCCGATCAGGTAATCAAAAAAGGAGACGACAGGTGTTCGAGGAAAACAATGGAAGGGACCCGAGAGAAACGAAAGGATCTCGAGAAGAATCATACCACCAAGTAGATGAGCCAATGTGTTCGCTACACGCTTAACTATACTAACAACTAAAATCGCCATTTATATCTTCACACCGCACCCGAAAACACATGCGAACACGACCACCTTAATGGCCGACGATCGCAAGAAAACGAAATGAACGGAAGTGTTGTGATCACGAAACGTGAAACCTATATTCTGTACTTACTTAGACTCCTAATGTATTTAAGTCTAAGTATATAATATAGGCTTCCCCGGATCATGCATGGAATAATACCTAATACCGTGAAAAGTTATCAACTGGATATAAGAACTTACATATAAAGATGGTACTTTGAAGTGTTTACCAAAATTTTCTTATTAATCAAAGCCAGCTTCCATCATCAATGAAAATCTTCTATTTCAGGGTGCTGATGGCGTTTTGAAGCGCCACTTACAAAGCAAATTTTACCAAAAAGATAGTACACACGTGGACTGGGGCCAAAAACTTGAATTCATACAGTGGACATGCGTTATTGACGGCACGGGAAGTATCTCCGTAGCCGAAGAGTATATCAAATAGGTAGAGAAACCTTTTAGCAATAGATGTACGGCGTACGTATTTTGTTAGATGGTATCGATCATAAACTAATTTCTCCGAGGAAATAGACTTTCTTCTAGTCACTGCCTATGATAGAGCCATTTGTATTACACAAATAACAGCTGATTCGTTTGTGCTAACAGAGAAATTTCGAGTCAAAACACAACAGTCTGATAGTGTTTTATTCAATGGTTTACTTCTTTTACAAAGAAACGTAGATAATTAATTCGCTAAAAGCCTTCGGCACTTATTGAAAAAGAAGAGATAAGACAAAGGTGGTATGTAATGATTCAAAACATGGCTTACGAGCCTAGACCTCAAATGGAACGTACATATCGTTCGTCTGTTGAGTTACCCTTATAAATGTTGTGCGCTTCGCCAGCTCCTACAATATCAGTTTATAAAAACATAAAACAAGAAAGAGTTTCATATTAACTTCACAAAGCTGTTCAAGTCCTGTGAACGGCTTAACGCCTCATCGTGGCTGGGAGTTCTGTTCCTGGGTGTTGGATTGCGATGTATAGTTACCCCCCCCACCCAACCACCACCAGCAGGGCCTTCCAAGCTGACAAGGAGTCTGGCGTTTCCAACAAGAACCCCAGATAAAAAACCAATGCCAAGATCCACCACCATCCTGGTATCAAGCTAGTCGCATGATGGCAAATCTCCCTCTGATGCGCAACGGGTTCGAATGCCGACGGGTGGCGACGAGAAACTTTGGCTAGGCTGGCCTTGGGACTCCAGGGAACGACAGTGGCCAAACCAGAAAAACTCCCAAGGGATTGGAATTGTGGTGGGTCGGCACAACCAGCGAAGACGAGCCATCCAAATATCCAAGTAAGTAAGCCGATCAAATCATGGATATAAAGGAATCCACCCAACAATCATAACTGCTCAAGAGAGTTGACATCTCACCTTAAGTTTCGCTGCCCCTGTGTACGTACACGCAGATCTGAGCCCGCCAAGTATATCCTGCACAGTTCTGTTTACATCACCTCTTAACGAACGCACTATTCATAACCCATAAAAACCAGTTTGAGCGAAATCAAAAAATCCTATTGAGAGACCTATATGGAATTGTGATTGTTTTTCCTTCACTTGCTCTATACTCAGCAACGTTTCCATGATGTTTCTTCATCGCGGTGTCCGAACTCATTCCATAAAATAACTTGAATTTCTGAAATGTAGTGGAATCGAGAAAGGACACACATTACTTGAGCATGTATACACAACAGTTAGTGGAGCTAGGCGCTAACCTGTCCACCTTTTTCTATGATTTCCCCTCCACTTTGATCATGTCCAGCAAACAGTCCACCAATCATCACAAAATCTGCGCCTAAAATTCAGACCAACACTAAATCGTTCCCTGTGGGAAGCCACACATTAAATATAGGAGATGCATTAATAAAGTAATCAAACGCTTACTATTCACCAAGAAACAGATCCGAAAGAGGTTTATGTCAAGACCTGACAACAGTCAAAACAACTAGTGGAATTCAAAGAGCTACTCGTAAAACCTTGAAATCCCTCTAAACAATGAGTAATGCGAGAAATATTAAGAAATATCATCAAAAACACTTGTTCAAGCATTTTCCCCAGAAAATGAAAGATCATGAATTACGGGCGACTCATTGCTTCTCGCACATAGTCGATAGTCGAAAGAGAAGTAAAAGTTCGTATTTCCTCGTCAATGTTTGGAACCTATGCATTAGAGATTTGGGATTTATTTTCGGGAGCACCTTACATCTTTCCTGATAGCCCTTAGATTATTCTACAAAGCTGCAGAACTTTTCTATAAAATGGAATGAGTTGCCTCTCGGAACAGTCTTAGAATTCCTTAAGTAATTTAACAAATTCGACAGAAGCAATACGGCCACAACGCTCACTGACTAAGGTTAACTAGCAAGAATAATTTAATAGCCAGAGCACTACTAAATGTTCTTCTACTAAAATGAGAGCAAACCTGCTCCGAAAGCTTTAGCGACATCGCCGGGATTTGTACAGCCACCGTCGCTTATGACATGACCATTCAAACCATGAGCAGCATCTGCACATTCCAAAGTCTGTAAAAAATGACTGATGTATTTATGATTATCTTACATTTTTTTACATCTTACCATTTGTTCAACAATATAACACCCGCTTAACATCATCCCCTTAATTGAATACCTTCCTGATATTGAAAGTATAGTCCGTTCAACACCGGTACTTCAATTATGAAAATACTTTGAACACGATGTTACTTTGTAAGTATAAAACAAGTAAGGATGAAGCCGTCGGCGTGATCAATCCCTGAGAGATACATCATGCATTCAAGTTCATTAAGCATCGTTGGAGATGATTGAATGCATATCTAGCCTTTACAATAACTCGCGGTGGCTTACCGATATACAAAGTCAGTGTTACTGTCTTCCCAGCAGAATTTAACGCCAACTTTCCAACCCCGTGGGGATGGAAAGCTTGGTAAACCTACTGCGCGGTTTCGAACCCATATGTAACGTAGTGCACCACTGCGCTACACTTATTCCACACGCCTTGCAAGTGCTGTAACGTTAGAAAGCGCTCTCCCCAAACAAGACATATGTGTAATGAAAAGGTGGAATGATTGACTAACATGTTTCTCGATAACTCTGCCCAAAGAAGGAAGTGAAGAGATCAGTTAGCCAACAATGGAGAAGTAACAAAACTTGGTACCCAAAAGAAGGTACTAGAAAAGAGTAGGAAAAAGAATGAATGACTAACTGCACTCAATTGGGGGTAACCTACACCTGTCTTCTTGCGGGTGGTACATACGGATCCTGGTCCAATTCCTACCTGAACGAAACGCTTAAGAACAAAAGAAAATTTGAGCGAAACAAAAACTACCTTAACAATGTCAGTTCCGGAAAGAATCAGCTCTTCGACCATCTCACCTGTGACCACATTTCCGGCAAGGATAGTATGCCTAAAAGACAATGATTATGAAGCGTTTTAAGAGGTCTACGATCTTAGGTGGACTTATAAAAAGCACGTAGGAAATTCCTCGCGAATTTTGCGAATGAAATCGATGAAGCATTCAGAGTAACCATTGGCAACATCGATGCAAATGTAGTCTAGACAAGAGACCATACTGCAGATTGCTCGTAGCTGAAGTGTAGAAACGAAGATAATAGGCAACTATTGAAGTTGTATGGTGCATACCAGCATACTGACTAATGAAAATAATGCTTCCTAAACAAGAAACTAAAAAGCTTAACAATATACCCATCTACCTTTTCGAAATCACTATCAGATATTCCTGAAGAAACCGCTATATGATTAAACACATCCGATCCGAGAACTTCATTTTGGAACCGTTCCCATTCAGCAACCTACGATGTTCAAGATACAGTGAGTAATAAAAGGCTTACTAAAACACATAAAGATAAAAAAGGATAAGGATAACCGTCTCGGTGTTGACCAATTCCTGAGGAATAGGCTATGCATTCGACTTCACTAAGCGTCGTTGAATGTGAGTGAATGCATATCTGGCCTTTACAACGACACGCGGTGTCCTACCGATGAATCGAGCCAGTGCTGCTATCCACCCAGACGGGTCTGGTACCAATTTGTCAATCTCGGAGGGATGGAAGGCTTGGTGAGCCTTAGGCGCCAGGATCGTTTCCGTTCATATTGCAGCAGAGCGTCTCCGACCACTGCGTTACACGCGCCGCTATCCTACAATGATGGTAATAGTGACATATCACTATTAACGATAGCAACGACTGTAGCAATAATTTTTGTTACGCTGTATGATGAGATAACACAAATGAAATGTTGTAAACAAACCGTGTAGTGCTTGTGAATGGTCGTGAACATTTTATGAGCAGACAGAGCTTTAGCCATTTCAAAGGTTCCAACATTGTCCATGTTCGACGCAATGATAGGTATTCCGCTGTATTCCTTTTTCGAATTTCGAAAAACATATCTAAACCATACGGCAAATCTCAGGTCCCACTTTCCATCAACCTTGGGATCGACCAATGATACGCTGTTTTCTCGATAAGCAGAGATGAAGCTTTTAACCCCAAGGTTTATTGAGCACAATGATCCGTTATTGAGCCGTTTCGGTGGTTTCACATTTTTCAGAGCCTGGAACAGCCATATAATCCACTCGGTCAAATACTATCATAACCTCAAATTTAGTACGCAAATGATTACTAATGGTAATACTTACCAATGGTGACATAATAATGATAATTACTTACTTTGACTTGGATGGCCTGTCTTTAGTGGTTGTGCAGAACCCACCATAATTTCGGAATTCTGCTGATTTCACCACTATGGTTCCCTGTAGTGCCAAGTCCAACCTAGCCAAACTCTCCCTAGGTCGCCGCCACCACAGGAGGTCTCAACCGTCATGGATCACTTAAATTTGCCACCATGCGACTTGTTTGAAACGAGGACGGTGCTGGATCCCTGCATTTCTACACTTTTACGTGGGGTTCCTGATGGAAACACTAGACTTCTCAGCCTGGAAGGCCCTGCTAGGGGATGAATTCCTCAGTTGTATTTCGCAGCTCGACACCCAGGAACACCTCCCAGCCACGATGAGGTGGTAAACCGTTGGGAGGAACACATATATAAGTTATTAATAATATCATTTATTTGTGTACTAAGTTTTGCCTGTTGAGGCCAAGACAGTGTTTGATTGAGTGGATTACGTGTCAGCTTGACTTACCCTGGCTCTGAAGAAGACGATACCACCGAAAATTCGGCCAGTATTAAATTGAATAAATCTTGGTGTTAGCAACCTCCTACTTGCGCATTAAGAAAAAACTGTGCAATATTTAAATTGAATGAATTCTTGAGATCTTTCAAAAATGGTCTAGTCTATAAATGACATGCATAGGCGTTCCTATATGTAGAGTACTCTACGGACGTATTCGGTAACTCTATTAATAACGAAACGAGAAAAGCCAAACGAAAGACATGAATGGTGTGGTGGTAAACACGTTAACACCCGTAAACGGTAATAACGGGTTCGTTCCCCACCGCAGACACCTGCGGTCCGTAGTTTTGCAAATATCTCTGCACCATAGTAGTTAAATAAATAATATTATAAACTAACTCTCGGACAAGGTCAACATCAGATCTACTCTTTAAAGTAGAGCGCTTTGGCCGAAGCAACACGTCCTTGAAGTCAAGCTTAGGCTCATTTTCGATGCGAGGCATCTTCGCTCCTTTAAGGCTCTTCGGTTACTCTGGAAAACAAGGAAAACAGCAGTAAACTTAGTCAACAAGAGATGAAAACATGAACAACTCAAGCGTGAAAGGCAGTAAAATCTGTGATTATGGAGGTACAGCGGAGACTCCATATTGTGGAGTAATGGCGATTGACTATACCCTGTAGGTTTCTGACAAACAACGAACCATTGAGAAGTTTCATCTAGAAGGGCTTTCGGCTGAACTATGCATTATGCTGAAGACTTTCATAGATAAGATGACAAGAAATGAGGGCTTAAGAGCTCAAAAGCTAAAAGAACAACAAACTTGAGATTACGATGAAGAAAAAAGTATGAAGCCATCGGCGTTGATCAACCCCTGAGGGACGCGATCGTTGGATGTGACCGGATACATGTCTGGCTTTTACAATGACTCGTTTACCTCCCAACGGTGTACCGCCTCATCGTGGCTGGGAGGTGTTCCTGGGTGTCGGGCTACGATGTACAGCGGGGGGATTCATCTCCCTAGCAGGGTCTTCTAAGCTGAGGAGTCCGGCGTTTTCATTAGGAAGTCTAACTAAGAGTAAACCAATACAAGGATCCACTATCGTCCTGGTATCAAAGTGGCATGGTGGCAAATCTCCTTCTGGTCCACAAGGGCGGCGACTGCCTTTGGTTATGAGTCCGGCGCTTAATCAAGAAGCGCAGCCAAAAGTAAACCAATACCAGGATCCATCACCGTCTTGGTATTAAAGTCGCATGCTGGTAAATCTCCTTCTGATCCACAAGCACTGCGACTGCCTGTGGTGGTGAAGACCTGGGGCAGACTTTGGCCAGGCTGACTTCGGGATTCCAGAGACCATAATGGCTGAAGCAACAAATCTCCGAAAATGGTGATTATGCTGGGACCGCACAACCAGTGAGGACGGGCCGTTCAAGTATCAAGTTACAATAACTAGCGGTGGAATACCGGTGTATCGAGCCAGTGTTGCTATCCTCCCAGACAAGTCTGATACCAATTTACCGACCTCGGATGGATGGAAGGCTTGGTGGGCCATGGACGCGAGGATCGATTCCACGTGTGTGTTGCAGTGGCGCCTCCAATCACTGCCCAACACGCACCTTTCTCATAGTCATGCTACACAGAAAGTATGATACCGACTGAAAAAAACTGCCTAGAAGCAAGAAAAGTTAGCTAGAAAGCGTCAGAGCAGTTCGATCAAGTCAACTTTTGACTCCATTAACCTTTATCAACATTAGCCGCTGACATAGCTGCATAACTGAGAAGTAACCGCCAATATTGATTACACATACCGTACCGTAATTGTCGAGACGGGGCAAGAGTTTGACGATTGGGCACGTTGCTAAGAGTAAGCCAATACCAGCATGCACCACCGTCTTGGTATCAAACTAGTTGCGTGCAGGCAAATCTCCCTTTGATCCACAAGGGTGGCGACTACCTGTGGTAGTGACGACTTGGAACAGACTTTTGGCTTAGCTAACCTCGGGACTCCTGGTAACCACAGTGGTCAACCAGCGAAACTCCGAAAGAAATGGAAATTCTGAAGGGACCCGCACAACCAGTAAAGGCGGATCATCCAAGTATTCAAGCAATTAGGTGATAAACAACCAAATAAGGGCACATATCTTTCGTATATTGGTTAACAAATGAAGCGGAAGTTTCACACTGCCACGATTCGAAAATGCTTCCCATATGTGTTTTAGGAAAAGCATACATGTATAAAATGGTAGTGAAAGCCTTTTTAAAGCAATGAACGTCCAGAAAAATGGTAAAAGTCAACGCAATTGCGCTTCACTAGCCTCGCCTCACTACAGGCGTCTAGAACTAAATAGTCTTCAAAATGACTTTTTAATCAATACGTACCCTGATGTCTATTTCCTGATAAAATTTAAGAAAAAACTATGGAAATAATTTTGATAGGTTGCAAGGGTATTTTGTTAGCTCTTAAGTGGTATATAATAAGGATAGAGCTGCTGGATAGAGCGTTATGCCACAGAGGCTTCATGTGTTCAAGCCACGCCTAAGCTAAAACATGGCTAACAAAACCTTAATCTGGACAATGAACTAATACAACAGTAAGAACATAATGAGGTTACGGAATGTAGCAAGCTTATGCAAGAAGAATGATTAACTTGGAGGCATGAACAGAACGGGAAATAAAAAGAAAACACCTAGATTAATACTACTTATGTGGATCGAGAGCTGAACCACTGAAATGTACTGCACACAGTAAGAAAGGATGTTATCGATGTTGCTTATATTCCTTTTGTAATTGGAGGAATTACACGATGAAACTTCAGAGTTTCCCAGTTAGAACAGTCAAAAGTGGTGGAATAGATTGTAACATTAAAAACTGAAACGTCGTGACGGCTTGCTCAGAGACTATACATTAAATGAAAGATATAGTGTACATGAAACGTAAATCAGCGTTCGACGGAATTCTCTATGTTTGAGAATTCCTCGGGTCTAATGGTTTCTCATACGCTGTGTTCTTAACACATAACTGGATCAACTTCCTCATCTCGTTGCCATAGATGCTGATTTGACCCTCAATACTTTCGTTTGGTCAACTATAATCTAGTGAACTGTTGAATATGTCCATCACATGCTGACTGAGTCCTGTTGATAGCATATGGGACTCAGATGCAAATTCGACATGTGTACTATTAGGACGGCTCGCTGATATATGAATACCAAGTAGTCAAGAAGATTCGGTCGGATTCGCTCGCCTTTGGCTGCGCCGCGCCGGGTTTTTCGTGATCAGTAGTCACAATGCACAAACTTGGGTAATTAAACCGCTTACATACATAGTATTAACACGATACAGCAATTACACTAGAACCGTATGTACAATAAACTGCAAGTAAGGTGGTTCAGTAGGTCGTAATCTGAGTAAATAGAATACACTAACAATTATCTAAAGCAATACAAATACACGATAGTGATACATTGTGGTTGATATAAAAAGGATAAACGAGAGGCAATTAACATGATGTAAGAGAAACGAAAGTTGTGTGAAGATTACATGGTTAAGCCCTCATAAAGCTTAAGAGAAAGTAATGTAATATAGCTGACGTCGCAAGGATGTGCAGTGACAAACCTATGAATGAATACAATTGTTCAGTTTAACAGTATGAGAATATGAGGTTAACATACAAGTTGCAGTTGTTCGAAGAGTTGCCGTGGCCAAGCACGAGTAATGATGCATTGGATATATCAGCATTAGTTGTGAGTTGTAAAATAAATCGCAGTTAAGTCAATTGGATGATGAGCAAACATTATGAGTTGTAACCGCGTTATTAAGGTTTTAACATGTTTCAAGAAGATGCAATATATGTAATTCGTGTTCCAGTACGATGAGACATGGGTACACGCTGATGACGTGACACTTAGCCAAGAGATGAACGGCTACAGCAAGCCGAGATTGGTGACGCAAGAGCACGAATCTTTACTTAACAATATTCCCACCTAATCAAACCGATTCAGCTGCGAAAGGAGATTAAGCTGGAACAAGGGTGATGAAGCAGAACGACAGAGATGTCCACGCGTCGTTAGAAGGCAAATGGCCGTGTTAAGAGGCGTGGCTAGTTCCGAGAGAGTGGCGTGAGTCTCGGGGTCACGCCACGGGTCGCAAGGTCTCGCCCCTAGGCAATGTGTCGTGCCTGGTGTTATGCCCGGTGGTGTATCTGATGGTTATAGTTACCGTATTTATTGGCGTGCCCGATGGTTAGGAGGGGATGTGAATGTAAGACACCCCACACCATCAGAACACATAAAAAAAAATCCCATGACCGGCTTTCAATTAACCTCGGCATTGATCAAGTAATTCTTTGTATTCCTGTTGAGCAAACGCGAGGTGTTATTTTATTGTTTATTCACGAAAAAGCTGACGTTTCGGCGGATTTCGCTTTCTTCAGAGTTTGGAAAGGTCAAGTTGACAGCAATCTATTTGGTCAAACACCTCCATAACCAAGCAGAGAAAACGCTAAATCAAGATTTCAATCACACTGAACTCAGAGTAGCTTCTTTGCACACTCACCGCTTTCTATGAGTCTTCCACTCAGTATGTCGCGCGGAGACCAACCGCACAGAGTTCACGTGGAAGTGTAATTTGCCCCTCCTATCAGGATAGCAGGCTTATATACTGCCCAATATCACGCGTGATAATGAGGCATTCTTCCCTGCGGTTCATTTTCGGATTCGTGGAATTAATCTAGAACGCCTCAAGAGTTTTGCGCACTTCTGTTCTTGATTCCTGTTCGAGGATCGTGACCCGTACATCAAAGTTCTCCCTCTATGTCTCTGGGTCCTATGCGTGCCTAGTTGGGTATTCGGTTTAAGTTTACCGACTAGGTGTTCTTTTGTGCGGACACTCCGAATTTCGACTCTCATTCATATTGTTCTCTGCTAATTTTCGCATAACGTTCTCGAATGTGAGTGAAATGATATCGCCTTGTTGATCCCTTTTCTTTACATGCATTTAAATTGAGTTATATAAAAAGCGATATCCTGGCTGTGAAATTGTTACAGAGCTCCCAGGACTATTACGCATATAAACCACTTTGTTCTATCCGTCGTCCAATGTACACAACTAATGATCGGCCTAACTTTAAATGGCAGTGGTGCAGCCGTGGGCCTTAACTAGTGGTTTAAATGGTTTAGAGCTAGCCTCCTGCAGGATTTTACAAAATTTTAATAGCAACGATATCGATTCGCAAAACATTTTAGTATTTTCTTCTTTTACGCCCCACAGGCAAACGTTTATTGTTTGAGCCCACATTTAATTCTCATTTATCTTCTCCTATCAAACCCACGATGAAGTGAGAACTCTCAAACCTTCTTCCTTCCAAGCGATGAACCGATCTCTTCGAACGTTAGTGACCCGATCATAACTCCCGAAATTTGGAAGAAGATGCTCCGCCGCTCAAGGTATCGCTCATTGCAGTGCAAGTCCCAATGGAAGCAGAGGAGGGAAAGGGTCTAAAACT